AGGGGAGTTTCGGGGGTACCGGGCGGGGGAGTCTCGAGCCAGAGGGGAGGGGGCGGCGGGTTTTCATGTGCCCAGCATGAGCTCCTACTTCGTCAACCCCCTGTTCTCCAAATACAAAGGCGGCGAGTCCCTGGAACCGGCCTATTACGACTGCCGGTTCCCCCAGAGCGTGGGCAGGAGCCATGCGCTGGTGTACGGGCCCGGCGGCTCGGCGCCCGGCTTCCAGCACGCCTCGCACCACGTCCAAGACTTCTTCCACCACGGCACCTCGGGCATCTCCAACTCGGGCTACCAGCAGAACCCGTGCTCGCTGAGCTGCCACGGAGACGCCTCCAAATTCTATGGCTACGAGGCGCTCCCCAGACAGTCCCTTTATGGGGCTCAGCAAGAGGCGAGCGTGGTGCAATATCCCGACTGTAAATCCTCCGCCAACACTAACAGTAGCGAAGGACAAGGCCACTTAAATCAAAACTCGTCTCCCAGCCTCATGTTTCCATGGATGAGACCCCACGGTGAGAAGCCTTTTCTCTTTCCCCCTCGGTCTCCCGCGCTCCGGGGTCTCCCCCTCCCTTGCCTCCTTTTTGTCTGTCCTGGCTTTCCTTCCTGGCTTTGGGGTCTCCCCGGCCCCGCCTAGGTGCCTGAGTGGGTTTCTGGAGGTTGGGAGGTTCAGCTGGGGGTGAGGCACGGGGCTTGCCTGGGATATTGGGGGGACTGGGGCGAAGGGGAAAAGGTGGTGTCTGGGTGCAAAGGGTTAAAATCGTTTTCTCACCTCTGTCTGTCTGTCCGTCTCTCCCTCTTACCATCTCTAAGATCAAAGTTGGTGAGGTGGCTGGGAAGGGGCCTGCGGACCCTGGGGTTATCAGCCTTTGGAGCAATCAGGGTCTCCATAAGGCACAGAGCCTTCGTCCAGGACAGTGGGCAGGCTTTCCTGGGGTGAAGGGAGACCCCTGTCCCCCTCCCCTGTCTGGGCCAGAGGGTGGTAAGACCCCAAGAACAGGTGCTCTGGCTCTCTGGGGGCACCCCCTGCCTTCTGTCAGAGAGCTGGCCTTGGGGCCACTACCCCAACTTCGCTGTACTTCCCTCCATTGCAGAGAAGAGAGGAAGCCAGAGAGGAGAGAAGAGTGCTCTTAGGAGGGACCATATGGACTGGAGGGCTCTGAGGTCCTGGAGAGCCTAACCAACCTACCCCCAGTCAAAGGCTAGTTGAATCTCCTGGAGACCCTAAGAGTGACGCAGGTCATGTGCCCCTCAAAGGGTGGCCCCTCCTGGCCCAATTTCGAAGTAAAAGGGGAAGCGAGAAAGCGACAAGTTCCAGCGGGGATGGCCCGTGATTTATTTGCTGGTCTCCAGTTAGCAATCAGGCCAAGCAGTGATACATTCCAGGAGATCAATTATTTTCCTTCCTGGCAAAGCCTTAGTCAGAGAGATTTGATGAAGAGACAGTGAGCAAAGCCCCTCTTCTTCACCCCCAGACCTTTTTTCCTTTTTTGGGGGAAACAGACTGTCCCCAGCCCTGCTCGCCAAATGCCACTCTGCACTTGTAAACAAAGCTGCAAAGGCCCTTTTCCTGGGACTGCAGGCCCGGGAGTACCCTGCAGGGACCCCCACCCCCGCCCCTGCCATTCCCAGGTTCCAGACAGACCCCCTTCCAGCCCCCACCTCACCCACCTCCCAAGGTGAAGCAAACCAAAACAAGCTCCCAAACTTTCCTGCCCTTGCCTGCTCTCGCCCATCTGCCCTTGCCTGTTCTGCGGGAGGAAGGGGGACTGGGAGATCGGAAGGAGGACTTTAGGGGAGAAAGAATGGCAGGGGAAAGCTGAGCCCCCACCCAAACATAACAAGACTGGGGTTCTGTTCTGTCCAGCTCCCGGGCGGCGCAGCGGAAGGCAAACTTACAGCCGGTATCAGACCTTGGAACTAGAAAAGGAGTTTCTCTTTAATCCTTATTTGACACGAAAGCGCCGGATTGAAGTCTCTCACGCCCTGGGACTGACTGAGAGACAAGTGAAGATCTGGTTCCAAAACCGAAGGATGAAGTGGAAAAAGGAGAACAACAAGGATAAACTGCCCGGAGCCCGAGATGAGGAGAAGGTGGAGGAAGAAGGAAACGAGGAAGAGGAGAAAGAAGAGGAGGAAAAGGAAGAAAACAAGGACTAAGCAAAAAAGAGAGACCCCCCCACACACACCCCTTTAGCAACTCCCTTGAAGTTTCGTTTTATGGTAGCGGATAAATTGAGAAGTTTACGACTGTCATTTGCTTTTATAGAGAATAGAATGACACTCACAACTCTAACTACCTGTCAGATACTTGCAGTTCTGGTTTTATTACCTTTGGACTTCCCCCATCTTTATTTGTTGGGGGGCTGGAGGGGGGAGACTGAGACACAGCGGAAAGTTCGGAATCTCTGTCTCAGTCCTTGCCCGGACACACACACACACTTGTCCCTACCCCCACCCTTCAGAGACCAGCCAGGATTGTAAGGTCTGAGACCTGCCCTCTTTGCCCCCTCTCGCCCCTTCTTGCCACACTCCCACCTCCCTGCTCCTTTGGTATTTATTTTAGAGGGGAGCCCCCCTTAAAATCAAGAAGACTCATGGCTTTGTGTTTATGCTAGGATTAGACTATTAGATTTACTTCTTTTCAAAGGAAAGAAGGAAGGAAGGAAAGGAAAAGGGGAAATGTTTAAAGAAATAAAAAGGTGATAGCAAGGAATATTCCTTCTCCCTTTCTGGGGCTCCCCTCCCCCCATTAAGAAGACCACCCCCCATCCCCACCCTTTCCAGAGGGTAGACAGGAACCTGCAGTTGCTGAAAATCCTACCTAGTCATCCCATGGTCACTCAGGCCCATGCCTCCCCTCCCCTTCGCTGTCTGATTTCTGTTGTTGGGCCTAGCTTCCTCTGAGCTGCATTAGTGTTAGTGCTCAGAAATCACCATAATCATGAAAACAATAATGCTGATAATAATACTGATAATAATAATACTGATAATAATAATGCTGATATCTTTAACATACTACCTAAAGGGAACCTGCAATAATCTTGAAAAATAAAAAAGAGAAATTTTTAGAAATCCTAATATGGGAGAAAAAAAGAGAAAAATTTTAAAATGAAAAAAAAAACCTCCAACGTATTTTATCACTACCTATAGAAAGAAATCCTGCTTTGAGAGTATTCGTAATGCGGTTTTGTTGTCGTTTGTTGCTGCTTATTTCACTAAGAAAACCCAACAACTGAGACTGCCTAGCTCGCCGGTCCTGTGCGCTTTTATTGTGCTTCTAACCCCAGTAGAGTAGAACTAAATTGCACTGAATGTATAGTTAACTCTGTCTTGAATTCTCTGTTTATGCAATGTGCTCGAAAGGAAAAAAAAACGTTAAAATATATCTATAATAATAATTTTTGGTCATTTGTCTTTACGTCCAGCTATGAATGTAGATTTTGTGTCCCGGCAGCCCTGTTCCTGGTCCAAGTACTTTGTATTGTATACGTGAGTCATAATAAAAATTCAAAAAAAGGAGAAAAATATGTGAATCTGGAATGACTTGTTTCTTTCTCCAAAACCCCCTCCCCATGACCTGCCCCTCTTCTCCTCCTCATCCTTTTTCCGTAACACTCTGGAAGAAGTCTCCTCCATTGACCTGGCTTTGGGGTGTGAGGGGTGGAGCTCATGTAGAGTGTAGAGGACAGGCTGGGCTGGGAGGGCAGGTGAAAGGAGGGAGATGAAGAGGAGGAGGAAGAGCAGTATGCTCTTGGGAAAACCTTGGCTCCAAACAAAGTGGGTTTCTGGATGCCAGGATCCCAGTGGGGAGAAAGCATCTCCCCACTTATCCACCTTACTCCTCCTCAGCCCTGGGCTGGGCCCAGACAAAGAATCTGCTCCCATGCCCTTCCCAAAGCTAGGCTTTTTATTTCCAGGGCTGGGGCTGAGAAGAAGCATTGAGGTTCTTTCTGATCGCCACATGCCCCTCATGGCCAACCCTGGGCGGCCAGCACCCACCACTAGAACAGTGAACAGGATGGGGAAAATATGAGGCTCAAGGCAGCCTGGAGGACTTGGCTGGAAGGTGCCTAAGCATGAGGAAGCTTAAGCCTGGGGGGCCAGCGAGAAGAAGGGGAAAGTGAGTGAGCTGGTACACCAAGCAGAGTGGGTCCACATTCTGAAATTCAAATTCAGTCAGCACAGAGCCATCACTCACTTAACCCACCTGCTCCTACTCCAGCCTCTGCTCTAGTTGTTTCACGCCCAGTCCAGGCTTCACCTTGGCATTTGGGCAGCCTGCCCTGCCCTGCCCTGCCCTGCCCTCACAGTGCAGGCCATTGGCCTGGGGAGAAGGGACAGGCCTGCTGAGTGCACAGTCCCTCCTCTCAGCCACAGTAGGGTAAGGAGTCTTCATTGAACTCCTCATTCTCCAAAATAAAGGGACTCAGTGGGGCAAAGCGGTTTCTCACTCTTCCCTGGGGGGGGGGGGGTCTTAGAGAAATCTGTTTATGCCAGTAAGATTCTGGTCAAATAATACCAAATTCCAGAGATACAAGTCATCTGGCTCAGTCAGGAGAGGGGGAAAGGGGAGGGGATGAGATCTTCTGTTCTTAAAAACCAGATCCCCAAAGACTGAAATATTTTGAAGCCAGAGGCGTGTGTGCGTCTCTCTCTCTCTCTCTCTCTCTCTTTCTCTCTCTCTCTCTCTCTCTCTCTCTCTCTCAATGATTTTCCCAGACTTAGGCCCAGGCCAACTCTTGCTTTGTGTAATTCCACCCCGTCTGTGTCCTGGCTCCCACGCAAAGTGATCCTGAAAATAGGATTGAGTCGGGGATCGTGGATAGGGAACTACTGCAGCCTGAGAGGGTGCGAGAGAGGGTGCGGATTGAAAGCCCACGCTGGGGGCAGCCAGGAACAGCTTTGAGCGGCTCTGGGGGAAATCGTTCGGAACCTGGGGTCCCTACGGAGGGCTACAGAGCCGGCCAGGTAACCCGGTTTGCTGCGCGAGACACCGCTATCCGCCAGGACAGCCCTAAAAGACAGCCTTGAGCTCCCACCCCAGGCCTTCCCACGCGCGCGCATCCTCTCCAGACTCGGGGAGCTGGCGGAGGGCTGTTTCATTTTTAACTGTGGAGTTATGAAGGCTATTACTAAAGACCGCTGGTCCAGGAGCTGAGTGGGTTGAACCCTGCACTAAGTGGCTCGGAAGGCTCTCACCTCGTTTCCCCCAAACGTCCCATTCATCCCTGGCCCAGCTCGGCAATGCCCGTGGCCCCAGCCGGGCGTCGCAGGGCGGGGTGCAGATGGAGCGGGTGTCGCTAGAGACGTGGGCCAGACCTCCAGAGCGCGAGCCGCCCCCTCTTGCAGCACCCACTCCCCCACCCCTTCTGCCCGCCGCCTCCGTTTTCTCGTTTGGAGAGAAGAGGAGGTAAAACCCGTTTTATGGGGGAATTTAATTGCGAGCAGGATGCGCTCTTTTTAGAAGCGCGTCTCCCTAACGCTCCCGCCGTCCCATTACGGGAATGGGGACCATTCGGCTGCGGCAGTTAGAACTCGCTCCCATTCTTTACTTTTTTATTAACCAATCAAAGTGGCTTCCGAAAGCGATTTGTGATTTGTGAAAAATAGTATCTTTCAAAATGCTGAGTTGAAGCATCTCCCTCATTTTGCCTTGAATTTATTATTCTAATCTCAACCGTAGAGACGGGATAATGCAGCTATTAAGTTGGGGGGCAAATTCGTTTCTCTGGATTTAAAAAATTCCTCATCACGTTCGCTCTCTCTCCCACTTCATCGCTGAAGCCAGGGGAGGTGCGGGCCTACAGGGAATGGGGAAGGTGGGAGGTGAAGCGGGTGCTGAATGTCCTACACGGCTCCTTGGACCCCGGGCCGGGAGAGTGGATTGGCCTCTCCATCCTCATCTCTTCCCAATGAGCTGCGCCAGCGGCTGGAGAAGTTCCCCCGCCCCAATTAGAGCGAACTCGGGACAGGTTGTGTCACAGACTAGAAGTAAAATTTCCGGCGAGCTGCCCGCAGGGCTGGCCCTTTCTCCCTGTGGCCCATTGTGAAAAGCTGGGCCAGCGCTTCCTTGTTGTAATTTTTAACTACCTGTTATAAAATTTATGGGTGGGTTTGTAAAAGAAACGAGGTCCCTGCATCCGGCGGAGGGAACTGCTTCACTTCTGTGCGGGAAGCGTGGGGAGGGGATGAGGGACCCCTGTTGGTTGGGGTAGGGCACCCAGCCCTGGGAGTCCCCAAGCCAACTCGTGTGGGTCCAAGGGGAGAGCTTGGGGCCTTCAAATCTCCAGCTGTGGGAAGAGTGATGGGGCGATGACTGATGGGCAACTAGTCTCTATGGGGACTTTATTCTGAGCCCCCACGCTGGACACATCGCCAGAATTTGGGGTCTGGAGAAGGGTGGGGGTGCCTCGGGTGCTCAGAATTTAGTGGCGAAGGTGGACTTTAGGGAGGGATGAGGTTCTTTATTCAATGTCTCCAAGGTGTGTCTCAGCTGCCAGGACGCAGAGAATTTTTCTGAAAAAGGCAGGCGGGTGTGGGCTACCAGACAAGACAGAAAGGGCTTCAAACTGCCTTGCACCTAAAGGAAAAAGAAGTGGGAACCAAGATCTTGGGCCTTCATTTTATTTTTAATTCTAAAAAGACTGGGAGTAGCTGCCATCTCAACCTTGGAATTGAGAAGACTGGACAATAGGGGTAGTCTTGGGGGGAAATGTATTTTCTTTGAAAAAGGAACCTGGGGATGAGAGGTGCTTTGGGGGTTCTAGAAGCGGCTCCCAATTCTCATCCCTCCTGCTGTCTCTGCAGGACTGCCCAGGGCCAGTCTAAGCCCTCTGGGCTCTGCAGACACCTCAGTTCAGGCCTGCCCCTCCCGTTCCTGTCTGGGGTGCAGTGGGGGGCTGCCCAGACACCCCATTGGGAGGGATGTTGTTCACTTACCAGGAAAAAAAAGGCTGGGGTAAGGAGCACATCCCTTGTCAGACCCTTCACCCTGCCAGCCCTCACTACCCCAATGTCACAAACCTTTGCAAAGCTTCGTTCCCCAGAACCAACCTTAATAACCCATTTATTAAGGAAAATATTTAAAATTCGGCATGGCACAGGGAGACAGCCGACTCAGCGCCAGAACCCTTCCTTGCCTCCTCTCGCATCCCCCTCGCCCTTCCTGCGCCCGACCGACCCGACCGGAGCGCGGGCCCTGGGGGCGCAGGCGGTGGGTGGGGTGCGGTGGGAGTCGGGGGCTGCTCCCTCTCGGAGAGAATTGGGTAAACATGGCGACCGCGGCGCCCATTTGCACACGCTACACAAATGCATCGCATTCCCGGTTGTTTGCAGAAAATTTACAGCTGAGTAATAAAAGTTTACGATCGACTCACAAGTTGGATTGGCCACAAGAAGTCATGTGGATTCCATCCATGAACGTGAACTTTTTATTGTGGTTTGTCCGTTCGGAGCGCTCCTCAGAACAGTCCTCCCCGTAAGAGCCTAACCATTGCCAGGGAAACCTGCGCTGGGCGCTCCCTTCATTAGCAGTATTTTTTTTTATTAATCTGATTAATAATTATTTTCTCCCCCCCCCATTTAATTTTTTCCCTCCCAGGTGGAGTCGCCGGAAGCTGGGGGCACCTGGGGAGGGGGGAGGGGGAGAGGCAGGAGCGGGGGGCACCTCTCTCCCCTCCGGACCGCGGCCCCCCAGGGGAGGAGGACTGCGGCGCGGGAGTGGAGGCTGGAGCTGCAGATGCCTCCCCGCCCCTCCCCGCGGCGCTCCCGCCTGCCTCCTTCTTGCAACTCCCCTTAATTTTATTTGGCTTTTTGGTTATTAGGATTATTTTTTTTATTTTAAAATTTATATAAAGTATATATGAGTGTGTGGAGCTGAGACAGGCTCGGCAGCGGCACAGAATGAGGAAAGACGAGAAAGGGAGAGAGAGGGAGAGAGGGAGAGAGAGGGAGAGGGAGAGTGACAGCAGCGCCCGGTAAGTGTTTCCTTATTGGTTCAAATATGTAACTAATGGTCCGTGGCTGGGTGGCGGTTTCAAGATAAGGACGGCAGCGGCGGGTCT